GCACTACATGATCTGGGAGTGGAGGCGATGTTCGACTTCGAGGCTGAGACGTGGCGTGAGAAGTAGTTCCACCGCCACCTCGTCGGGTAGACGGATATATCGGGTTTGCAGGGGTAGCTCGGATGATAGATTGTCTCAGCGCCTCGTTGACATCTCGGGGGCAGTTTGAGCCATTAAAGCGGCAAACCCACGTGTGAACTCCGGATTCTGAAATAGAGTGGTATAATCTGGCAAGTTGGGTATAGCCGCAGGACGCCTAGTAGAGTGATTGCTGCGACTGTGCCCTTCACGCGATGTATGTCCATGGTGATCTGAATGAGACATATTTGCAGCGGTTGCTGTGGCTAACGAGCCAAGGGTGGAAGATTAACCTCAAATAACTTATGAGGCTCTCCTTCTAGCGCCAAACTGTTGTTATGTGATTGTTAACAACGATTTGAGAGTTTGTTTATTTGATTGTTATTGATGATTTGAACGTAAGACATGCATTAAAAACTCAACAATGGCCTCGGTCCGAGGTGAACCGAGGTGGAAAGCTCCTATGAGCTGTTTCGTGTTTCATGGTAAAAATTTGGTTCGGGAATCCCCCGTACAAGTAGTAGGAGTTTGCTATTTATAGTAACTTTTTGGGATACATATCGGGATTTGTGCATTGGTTTGTTCATAAAGCTACTTTTGTTGGGCGGCATTGTCAGCGGGTCCCACTTGATCTTGTGGTTTGTGAAGGTGGCGTGTAGGCGCCTTGTCACCAGCTTAGGAGGTGGTGGCCTCGGTTCGTAGCGACTTCGGTTCTGGGATGACCTAGGTTGTGAGGATCACCTCGGTCTTCTATAGCTTGGCCAGTTCGGCCTATGGACCGGGATAACTGTTGGCCATGTCATTGCTGGTAATAATCCATTTAACACGCAGTTCGAGGCTACTAACTTTGGATTATCGAGTAGGATGATAACATCCATCGAGTAGGATGATAACAGTAGTTATATGTTGTAAGTTAAAAAAATTATTATAATATAACACATGTAAGTTGCACAAATAAAAAGTTTCATACTAAATATATAATAATATATATATTTTTATAAAAGGTATTTAAATTTTCAACTACTTTTATCTCATTAATTTTAGATTTAAAAAAAAAAAATAGCAAGCACTCGTGTAATACACGGGCGTTGTACTAGTAATATAATATGTACGAACATTTTATATACAAACTTAAGTCTTCTAGTTTGAGAAAATTATAATTTGACAAAATTTGACACGTTTTTTTTAAATGTTATACACAGTAACATATCAATTATTGCTATAATTACCTAACATATAATGTCTTATAAGAGTTTTTTATTCTGAAAATCTCTACACAATCAGAGTTATTATTTGACATAAAATCTATTGGTTGTAAACAAATCCAACTTATATGGAATTCTAAAATT